ACCTGTCTCCATGCCAGGGGCTTCACAAACCCTCACGAGGTTTTAGAACCCCTTGAAACTAAGTACATCCCCCACCCTCCTCCCCATGCTAAAATGGTTAACTTCTTCTGACATGCAGAACAGCCACCAGCATCCTCTGCAAAGGGGGTTGTCACAGGTTTGAAATGGTGTTGGATCATGGGAGTGCCTTCCTGCTGTTTTGTAAAGGACACCAGGGCTAGGCAGGAGAAACACTGTGAGATACTTGCTTGAATAGGAATAAAGACATTCTGAATTTGTTCTGCTCCCAGAAGCACAGCTTCCAATGCACACTGATCTTCCAAACCAGCAGCATGCTCAGAGCTAGCACAGGGACAGCAAGCCAGGTTCACCAGGCTTGGGAAACATCTGTTTCTGTTTAAAGAAACCTGCTTGCTGCCAGAAGCAACTCACTCCAAAGCACTACCAGTCCACTCCCTCTGCTCCTCCCCTCTCTCTGAGCTTTGTTACACAGAACAAATTGCACTGGAGACACGCTTCTCTGAACCATTGCTGAGGGCAGTTTTTCCCTGCTCACCTTCCATCCTGCCTTTGCAAATACCCATGTTACCTTCCCAAAGCACACTTTGAACTGCTACTGGTTTGCTTTTCCAAATTTCCCTCCAGGTTAGTTTTGCGCATTGTACCTTGAGCACAAGTTAATGGCAGAGTGCTAAGCTTCAAGCCTGACTGCTGTCAGAAGATGCAATTGATATGAAATTCTCCTTCACATGAAGCTGCAAGGTAAGAGATGACATCCTAGAGGGTAAGTAGCAGCAGATCCATTTATCTACAGAGGGAAGGCATTTCACAGGACTTGAATGAAAGATGGTGTGAAAGCTGGCCTCTGAGAGGGCTCCTTCCTTTTTCAGTGTGTGAGGGTGCTGCATTTGCAACCGTGTAGCACCATAGACAAGCTGTACATGACATGAGCTGTGCATTACCAACAGCAGGAGACATCAGATCTCCCTCACTGTGTTACAGGATGACCAGTCAATCTTGCGCGTTGAACCCATTTTCCATGCTTTTCACAAGACAAGGCTGCTAAGCAGCTCACTGAATTCAGGTCAGAAAGAGAAGATATTTGCTTACAGAGCACAGAGGAACACTTACCTGTTCTTCTTCATGGGCATGACCTGTGGCTCCTTCTCACCTGGACTGAGGCACAAAGCAAACCAGAACCCACCTTCCTCCCATCATTTAAGCTCATTAGGCCCAGGTGATGCCATGCTGAATATACTGCAGGTAGCTCCCTCCTCAGGACACCAGGTAATATGTTCACACCTTCACAAGCTCTTTCCCACTTCCACTTTCTCTGTAATTCATGAGGGCATTTCCATCCCAGGGGCATATTGTTTCTGGAGCATTTGCTAGGATCTGAGATATCTATGGCCATGAACACAAATCATCTGCTCCAAACTGAAGCCTGATGCTTCTGCAGTGTGCCCTTTATTATCACCTGAAGCAGGTGAACATGCTTCCCTGCCAGGCTGGTACAATTCATGAGTGAAAACAAAGATCCACAGTGCTGGGCAAGAGCATGTTCTATACTTGTACACAACAGAGAAGAATAAACCACCCTGCTTACACCCAACTTTTAGTTGAGTGCATACACAGAAGACAAAAGGAGTATGTGGCTGGGGGGGGGGCTCATGTTCCTCGCCAGGGAGTGCCAGCATATATTTTTTAGCCATCACTGTTCATATACTAGTGTTTTGTCAAATCTAGCTCCCATTGAGCCACTCTATTCTCCTCGGGGAGGTGAGGAAGGGTGAATTGACTCAGGTGCACACAATGGACATTCCTCAATCAAAAAAAACATGGGGAGTTTTGTCAGCCCAGACAATGAGAGCTCTCCTTCAAAGACAATGGAGTCCAATGTTCCTCTGCCAGTAACAAACCATCATTACTTCTGTATTGTTCAAACACTTCCTCATCCAACCATGAGATCCTGACTGCTGCACTTAACCTCCTCTGGGCTCCAGTCTCACCAGATAACCTCTCCACACCCATGCCTCTGGCTCTCTAGTCCACCTAAATGGAAAGAGGAAGGAAGTTTCCAGCTGAAGTGTCAGATCAAGAGCAGTCTTTGCTCCATATTGCATGTTAATATACTAAAGACTAGGCTCTTCTGTAAGATGGGTGTATTTATAGTATGGAGAAAAAAACCCTTTCACTTCCTAATACTTCAACATGAATCAGTTTCTACTGCCTTGTCTAAATAAATTATAACATTTCATCATCACAAGTCTTAACAAAGGTTGATATTTCCTCTAGAAACTGTCTCCAGTTTTGGAATTCTAGGTCTTCAAAGCTGTTTTGAAGCTATGCAGCTAGGTTTTCAAACTGGCAAGTAAGGACAGATATGTGCTCCAAGAGCCCATGCTTCGAAATGAGATCTCTTGTCAATCCACTGTCATACTACATACACCTTTTGCAACTAACCAGCACAGCTGCAGGAACAGAAGGAATACTGAACAATGAAAGTTTAAACTTGAACTCAGGACAATTCAGGGGTGATGTCTCTCTGATATTAAGCTATAGTTCCCAACACCTGCCAGTATTTGCCTTTCATCCCCTTTTCCTTTCCTCTTCCCTTTCAGTACTTCAAAGACTTTAGTTTCTGCAAGTGCTATAGATAAGTTTATACTGCAGGGGAGAGTGAGGAAGTTACAGTTAAGGGAGAGCATTTGTAAGCAATATTCAGAAACAGAAATATCAACACAATCAAGAGCAGACACCTTTCCTATAACAAAACCTTAAATTAACCCCTTCACTCTCCTCCTGACCTTCCTGCGCACCCTTCCCATATCATTATGGAACATATTTTTCAGTAGTTAGCCCTTCAGTGCCTAACTGGAAAGGGCAGTGTTGCCCTCTTGGTAAATACAACCCAAGAGTGCAGCACAGGCTGGGATCTATCTGGCTGGGGAGCAGCTCCACAGGAAGCGACCTGAGGGTCCTGGTGGGCACAAGCTCAACATGAGTGAATAGTGTGCTGCTGCAGCAAAGAGAGCCAAAGAGGGTGCTGGGTTGCACCAACAAAGACATCAGCAGAGTTAAAGGAGTCACCGTCTCACTTTATTCACTGTAACTTGGTTTTGGCCACCACTACACAAAAATGATGTGGATAGGCAGAAAGAGATCCAGAGATGGACTATACAAATGATTAAAGATTGGGAAGCCACGTGAGGAAAGGCTGAGAGAGCTGTTTATTCAGCCTAGAGAAAAGAAGGCTCAGAGGAGACCTTATCGTCATGTTCCAGTATTTAAAGGGTTTCTACAAAGATGATGGAGACTCCCTTTTCACAAGGAGTCACATAGAATGGGCACAAGTTACTCTTGGGGAGATTCCAGTTGGATACAAGAGGGAAGTTTTTCACAATGAGAACAACCAGCCATTAGAATAACAATTGGAAGTGGTGGATACCCCTGTGTTGGACACCTTTATGGTTCAGCTGGATAGGGTGCTGGGGCAGCTAGTCTAGACTGTGCCTTTGCCAAGAAAGGTTGAACCAAATGATCCCTGAGGTCCCTCCTCACTGGGTATGCTATGATTCTCTTCCATTTTCCACATGGATAGAAAGCTGTTTAAACCCTGGAAAGAGTTAAGAGACTGCAGGAGGGATGAGGCTTTTGTTATAGTCTAGCTATTACTGCCCTCCAACTTGGCTCTTCTGAATACCAGACTTGTCATTACTTAGAATTTATATTAGATTTGGATCTATGCAGCCAAAAAGAGAAAACAAAAATAAGGAGGGTTAACATTGGCCTATTTTAAGCTCTGTCATAATTCCTATAGAACTGTTTAGCTTGTAAATGAATCACACGTTGGATGTAGCTGAAACTGTAGGTACAACATTTGAAACTTCATGCCCAGTGCAACACTACTGCCTGCAAGTATCTGATGGCTCTGAAAGAGGGGAGCCTGCTGGAGGTTTTGCAGGAGCACTGCAGAGGTGGTTTGGGGAATCCCCAGGTGAACATCAGGCAGACTGCACCTGCTCCTGTGCAGCAGTGTACTGTCCATCCATTGCATCCTCTGTATGCTCCCCCCTTCTGCAACAGTGAAAAGAATGCTTAGGAAGACACTACTGCTCCTGTGCTTCATCACATTCTTCTCCTGGTGCTCATGAGCAGTAGTGTAAGGACCTGAATTTGTTTCCCCATACATACAGTTTGTAAACACTGACAGATCCAATCCACCCCAACAGAAGAGTGTGCAGAAAGCCAGCCTCAGAGCTGGAGGAGCAACTCTGCAGTGGCTCTCCCCCCAAGACAGGGCAAGAGCCATAGGCTTACTGAAACAAGCAGATGAGCAGCTCCCTCTCAGCTCTGCCTGCACAGGTGCAAGGCTGGTACAAGCCATAGAGCAACACCACTTACACTGCTTTCACCAAGGCAAGAATGGGCCAGTGACTTCACAGGATTTATTCAAAACACAAGAAACAGCCTTCTTCACAGACATCAGGAGGATATGAAAGAGGACATCAGTTTGGAAGAGAACAGTATGGAAGAGGACAGGGAAGGTGTTCTCCCCAGCATACAGAGATTGCAGAGCTACTTCTTCCATCACGCTGTCATGGGAGAATCCCTTCAACCAGGAAAAAAAGGTGCCCTCCTTCATTCTGTCTGTGTTTCGACATGAGGAGCAGAGCATGCTCTCCTTCCTCACTGCTCATGAAGCATGAAAGTGGTGTATCTGCTCCTCACCTATTCAGGAAAAGCACACAGCAGCCCAGGGATCACCTTGGTTAGCTTGCAGAGCACTGGATCTCATGTAGCAGCAGCTATGTGGTATTGCTTTTACTGGAGACAAGCCAGCAAGTAATTTGCCAACAGCTGCAAAGGTAGACCAGCAGATAGCTGAAAAGAGGTATTGACTTCAGTGAGTTCTCCCATTGGTGCCTCAGAGCATCTTGCCCAAAAGGTTTCTGAAATAAGGCTTCTTCTGTACCAAGCACAACACTGCACTGGAGGAGTTAATGTTAACTCACATTTATTTTAAGCAATTAAAAAAAAAAAAAAAAGGAAAAAGATTTAAAAGTCTTGCAAGAATCACCAAATTGTGAATTACCTCCCTCTTCCTTCACCAAATATTCCTCCTGCTCTCAGAAGTCCTACAATTTGAAAGGAAGTTGCCACAGTTATTTTACAAACTGTTTGTAAAATCCAATATTTTGTACTAGGAGTTTAGCCTGCCCGCACACAGCTTTGACACTGTTTCCATCTATCAGCTCCGCTCCAAAGAACTCCTAGGACGATGGTAACAAGGTTTACATTATTTCTTTTGTTCTCAATGGACCAGGTTTTTGGCTCTCATAGCCCCTTTGAAGTAAACCGAACTACAGCCAACATTTGATCCTGGCTTGTGCAATCTCTGCTTAGAAAGCATCTCCTGAGCCGCCCATACGCCATGGGTTGACATGAAGACACAAATATCCACCCGCTGCACGAGCCTGGCTCCACTGGGAGTAAATTTATTGCAGTGACTCGTGCAGGCACCACGTGGATGTACCTCAATGTATTAACGCTGCTTTACAGCTGGGAGAAGTTAGGCAAAGCAGTCCTAAGAGCAAGTGTTGCAATGTGGAAGAGCTGTCAAAACACACCAGTGCTTAGACCTAACGAATCTGACAACCCTGATTTCAAAAGTGCTTTGACAGTCAAGTAAATGACTCCTAAACACACTAAAAACTGATCTACTAGCAATGCACATTTCGGAAGCCGGGCAAAGTAGCTTTCCCATGGATATAGATGTCCTCATCTGTGCCCTGGTTTATATGTTTCACCAAGTTTTTCTCAAACAGGAGGGGGTGGTAAGCTCCCATGGTACAGGCACGGTCGTGAAACCTCTGGTAATAGTGGCAAATGTCAGTCTGCCGTTTGGAAGGGAGGAACTCGTACACGTCCACTTCGTCACAGAGCGTCATCATGATCACAATGCCTAGGGAGGGAAAGAAAGCAGATAACCCCACGTCAAGCCAGGGAATTTATTACATGTTCCAGCAAATGGCGGTCAGCAAGGAGCATCCAGCTCCAACAGGAAGGGTTTCCTTTCTGACAGTTCAGAGGAGAGGGGGAGAAAACAAGTCTGGCCAGACAGGGCTCTTTTGTGAAGCCCTCTCTTGCAAAGCAGATGAGTGACTTGCTTACAGCAGACTGTTTACAGCCACAGCCATGACAAAAGGCCACTTTTTAACAGTGCTGCCATTCTCCATGACCTTCCTGGATACTTGAGCATGTGCCAACTGTGTGCTCCAGTTAGCTGATCCAAACAGCCCATCTCAAACCTGCTTGGGTAAGCAGTGATGAGACCTTCACCTTTGCCTACTTGCCTCTTGTGAATGCAGGGGATATGAAAGGGGAAATGTGTTTGGAAATGGCTCATGGAGACTGAGCAGGCTCTGTGCTTCAGGGCCCCCAGCTCCCCAGCAGCAGCAGAGCAGTGCTGTGATCCCCTGTCTTCTGAGAGGCACGTGAACCACTGAAGGATGTTCACACCAGTTTGGGCACAGCTCCATTGACTTTCCGCCCAGATCAGAAGTAAGCCATAGTTATTGACTCACTGTTCTTCCAAGGCACACGGTTTACATGATGCTGTTAGAACCCATCCGTGAAACCACTTGTTTGGGTAAGGTGCATTTTAAACACACTGTCATCCACCTTTTGAAATGACAGTTCTCATTGACACTTAGGCCTTCCAGGAAACCCAGGGTTGCAAACTGGAGCTTGTCTGTGCCCTTGCATCTGGCGAGGTGACTTGTTTTACAAAGGAAGTAGCTTGGCCCAAACTTAAGCCACAGAGGGATTTGCTGTCTGGCATGGTGGGGTGCCTGCCTTCAAGCCCCTACTTCCAGCTAACAACAATTTGCTGCTTAAGTCACTGACCTGCTGTTATGCAGTTGGCCTGCACATATCCCAGCAATGATGCAGTAGGTTCTGGACAAGAGCAAGGATGTGAGAGGAAACTAGAGAGGTGACTGGCAAAAGTAAGAAGAGGTAGAAATGTGCCTTTGTGCCAGCAGTGATGAGAGCAGAGAAGAGGCTGAAGCACAGCAGCTGGACATCCATGTGGCAAACAAGACCATCCATCTATCTAGACAGGCTGAGAGAGCTGGTCCTGTTCAGCCTGGAGAAGACCCCGGAGAAATCTAATAATCTGCCAATACTAAAGGGGCCAACAAAAAATCTGGAGAGGGGCTTTGGACAAGGGTCTGTAGGGGCAGGACAAGGGGGAATGGCATTAAACTGAGAGAGGGGAGATTGAAATTAGACATTAGGCAGAAGTTCTTCCCTGTGAGGGTGCTGAGGCGCTGGCACGGGGTTCCCAGAGAAGCTGTGGCTGCCCCATATCTGGCAGTGTTCAAGGCCAGGCTGGTCATAAGGGCTTGGAGCAACCTGCCCTAGTGGAAGGTGTCCCTACCCGTGGCAGGGGGTTGGAACTGGATGAGCTTTAAGGTCCCTTCCAGCACAAACCAGTATGGATTCTGTGATTCTGTGATTTCAAATATATGCAAGCTTCCTGAGAAGTTCACTCCTTTTAACTCAGCTGGCACAACATTTGCTCTGCAGTAAGAAGGAAAAGCTCTGCAACAGCAGAATGTAAAATGAGCCCCTTCGCTGAGAGGCTGCATTTAGGATGCTGACAAGCAAAATGTTGGCAAGTTGAATAAAGAGAAATACCACTAAACTTCCAGGGCAAACATTCAGGTTGACCCTCCCCAGCACCTCAGCAAGTCTTTAGCTATATACTTTTCCATACATATATATTTCCATATTTATATATGGAAAGTGTAATCAGACAAGCACTCAGATTTCATCTGCAGTAACCAGATTTAGTTGCCTGACAAAAGCAGAAGCTGTATTCTTCCTCTTGCACCCTGTGGGAATTGTGGGAATTGCTCTGGCTCTAGAAGACAGAAATCTTAGAGACCACCTCGATGTTGCAATCTGCTCTCCTGTTTCCACATGGAACCAGGCCATGTTTGTTGTAACTGCTGTTTCAGAGGAGTGCTGCAAACTGCTTACTTGAACACAACTGAGCCACTGCTTTAAAGACAGGCAGCTTCAGTTTTGGCATAGGACAAATGCTGCAAAGGCAACTCCAATATCGAAGTACCATGAATTTGTAGTTGTCTTTAAATAAAGGCATCCTGGAGAGTTCCCGCCTGCAAACTGAACCAGAAGTTTGGAGGGAAATTATCTTACCAAGCATTCCTGATGATGGTGGATTAGGCTGAATTTGCTCCAGGGAATTCTCCTGCAGAATATCCCAGAGTTGCCACTGCATTTTTGGATTCAGGATATAGAAGGGCTGCTCTGGATGTGTGCTCCGATAAGACTTATAGCTTTCAAAAAAGTTGTAGTCTGGTTTCTTGTACCACTGTAAAACAGACATGGGAAGTCAGACTATTTATTTCTAGCCTGCTCATTTCCATAGCTATCGAGGAACAAGGATGAGAGAATCTGCTGCTATCAGGGGGCAGATTTCGTGCTGTAGGCACACACACCCACTCACTGTCCCCCACCACCTCATCTGCTCCTCGAGTCACCACAGTGACTTAACAAAGCAGGGAAAGGTGCCAAATCTCAGTAAAGGACCATTAAATGAAATCAGCATCTTGCATACTTCCATTCTGCACCCTCAAAAGCAGATGGTGTTGAGAGCCATGGCCTAAATGTTATAGACTCCAACCCCTCTCCACATTGGAGTACAAAGCATTTTGCCAGCAAGTGTCCCCAGCACAGCCTCCTAAACCAGACTGAGCTGATTTGCATCCTAAAACTTCCCCTTTCAGTAAAAACACTTAGGAGTGGTTTATGTTTTCTTAAAGCCATTTTGAGATCATTTTCCCTCTGCTAAAAATACCCCATCCTGTTTTTACTGACTCTTAAACATGCTGCACATACACCCTCATGTCTCCTGGAGGTGTGGGACTAGGCACAAGAATAAGCATCAGCAAGAAAATAGGAAATACAGTTCAGAGAGAGGAATGCAAAGACCTCTCAGTTACAGGCAGAGCTTAAAATAAAAGAATGGGCTATTCACTCCTACCTGCTTTCACCCTGAGCCTCCAAATCTCATCACTTATCAAATAACACCCTTTTGTACCCAAAATGAAAAGTGAATGCTACAGAGATTGCAACACAAGTGAAAGTCTAGTTGACACAGACAGGAGGCATTTGCCAAGATCTTCAGAGGGTTTCCCAGTCCATTCATAATGCATCAAGTATATCTCATGTCTGACTGGTGCTTGAAATACCCAAGCATCAACTGTCAGCAAATCTCATACCAACTGTCAGGAAGAGGAGATCATCCTCTAATGAGGTGACAACTGCTTGCAGCCCAAGGGAAAGTAAAGGTAATGTGACCCACTGCACCTGGCCTGAGGCCCTTCACTGGTATCAGGGACAAGCAAGTGTTTCCTTAGGAGCACCCATGATGGGATACTCTCAGAATTACATACAAACATACACATGTCAAGGAAAAGGCAAGAAAGAAGGGCCTTAAAATGAGTGATTGCCCACATTAGGAAGAAGTGGGTTAAGAGAGGCACTTCATATCAGTCTGTTTTTATTTATAGAAAACTCAGCCTTACCTCATGAATTTCTGCATGATATGGTGCTGGATCCCAGACAATTAAGATTCCAGTGTTATATAGTGCTTCTCCCAGGAACTGCTGCTTCTCAACGGTTACGAGCTTGAAGAACAACAAATACAACGATATACAGTATGCTGTCAGAATCAGCAAGCAGCCAAGCAGTAAAACATAGCAGAATATAGCAACAGCCACCCCACTGCTGGTTACTGAGCATGCCCCACTGCATGCAGGCAAGGACAAAAACCCCAGTGATGCCCTTCCAGTGCCCACTCCAGTCCTGCTAACAGCACAGGATTTAGTGGAGGGTCACAAGAAAAACTGCCATTATGCTTTACAAGGTTTTCTCTATCCGTCTTCGATAATAAAATAAGGATGGAATCCACAGAGTGACCCAACTTGTATGACAGGTACTATCTCTAGAGCTACCAGAGGCAGGGGGGAACATCAGTTGCTGCCACCAGTCACCAGGACAGTGCAGGAAGAGCCCAATGCAAAGATGCTGTTGGCTTTATCAAGAACCTTCATGTGAACCAGAAGAAGTCTCCACATGGGTGGGTGGCTGCCCTATTCCTGGCAGTGTTCAAGGCCAGGTTGGATGGGACCTTGAGCAACCTGCTCTAGTGGAAGGTGTCCCTGCCTGTAGCAGGGGGTTGGAACTGGATGAGCTTTAAGATCCCTTCCAACTCAAGCCATTCTGTGGTTCTATGATTCCACGAAATTATTCTAGAAGTGAAAAGGGTTTCCTCACATCTGTTCATAACTCTGCAGGCTTAGGCTTTGGCCTTGACCATATGTACTGCTTGGTTCCATTTCCTTACAGTATCTAGAATATCCATCTGGAGTGTGCAACTCTGCAGTTGTGAACTTTTGCCTCTGCTCCATGGACACCAGAAACAGAGGCAAGGAGAGGGCATAGGAGCTGGCACTAGCTACCCCTTACCCAGAAATAAGTGGGATGGAGCTTTATTTTCATTTAACTGTTTCTTTAAAGTCTAGAAATCTTTCAGTAACTTTCGTGGTATGAAATACATACAAGGGGGATTCAAGAGAGACTGAGCATCAGAGAGAGCAAAGGTCAGACAAGCAAAGCCATGCAAGTTGGCAGAGGCACACAAATCCCAGAGAGCTGTGACAGGCACAAAAGCAAAGGGGTAAGAAAGTAGGGGGGGAGCAGCTACACCAAGTCTTTGCTGTTTCCCTCCCCACACGGCAGAGCTAGCTGTTGGTGCTACTAGTTACCTATTAGTTGCTTAACTCATCTGCTGGACGAATCCAACTCCTCAGATACCTTTAATGCCTATTTGTTCTGTTTAATAGCAACTGATTCTTTCTAAGTAGTTACATTCATTTCAATTGCTACATAATTTATTTGTGTTACCCAGCTTTTTGATCTTAATTATCTGATCTACTGATTTCCTAGTTAGTTTGTTGTTTGGCCAATTCACTGTTTAGCAAGTATCTCGCTAGTACAGCCCTACCCTTCTGGTATGTTTATTGACTGTGTCAAAATGAGTTCCTTTGGCTACCGCAGTCAATGCCCTGTAATCTAAACATGCTCCCCTTTCCCATCACAATCTTACTCCATTTCACCAATGTGCTATCTCCTTTCTCTTCCTCCCTGCAGATTCATTAGTGCCAATAACAGCAAACACAGCCAAAGCAGAGACTGCTCTTGTGACAGTGAAAAGCCAGCTGAGGAGAACTGTAAAGAAGGGCTGGAAGGAGTGAGATACTCCAGTTCTTGGTCAGCTCTGCAGAAAGGAGTTGTGGCCTACATGAGAACAACACTAGCATCCCCCACACACACTCTTCAGCCCTTTTTTTTGTAAGATGTGACTGCTTTCCCAGGGCAAATCGATGCCTTGTGTAAGATTGCAGGAAAACGTGCCATTAAAGGGAGTGTTACTGATGAACCAGTGGAGGGCTAAGAAAATAAGCAAGATAATGTGAAATAATTTCTTTAGTTAGAAATAAACACCAAGCTACCAAGCTTGGGGACCTATGAGCCTGTTCTCTAATCTGAGGATCCCTAGTTCCCTCCCTGTCCTGCCATCTCCTTCACTTTGGGAATGGACTAAGGAATGGTCAGTAAGAGAAGCCAAGCCACAACCCCATCCCAGTTCACAGTGACTACTTGTAAAAGCAGCCAGGACAAATTACAAATCAGAGCTTGTCCAGCTAGGAGCTGATGCTTGCAAGAGCAACCAGCAAGGCAAGGCACAGCTCCTGCAGCAAGCTGAATACAAAATGTAATCAGGCAACCCCACTATCAAGAAGGTTAAAATCATGCCACCATGACGAGAACAGCACTGAGCTGTTATGAAAAACACAGAGGAAAACCAGGCTCCCAGAGCAGTGATCCCTGAGGATAACAAGGACTGCAAGCAGAGCTGTTCAGCTTTGAAACTCCAGAAGAGAGACTCCTGCAACCAGTCACATGGAGAACATCTTCTGCCCTGTTCAGCAGCTAGAACAACGCTGCATTTGTAAGTTAACTTCAGCCTGTAAAAACTGCAACAGTTTTGCTCTCCTCATAACTGAGGCTTTCTAAGATGGTGTCTCCAGTCAGAGGAGATGGTGGCAGATGAAAAACATCCCCCACGTCTGCAGGCTGAGTTGCATGGAGAACTGAAGCACTATGTGACATGGCTGTAACTCTACTTGGTCCAAAATACAAGCATCCACATGGAGAGCTATGGCTGCTATATTACAGCTGTACAATCACACGCTTCCCCTCCTCCCTGTGCAGATGACCCTGGTATATAACACACAGGTCAGGTTCATGTTTTTGCTGATAAATGACTTCATAAAGCAGTAAGTTTGGCCATGAGCACATCCTCCAGAGAAAGTTTTCTTTAGCGATAACACCCATCTGACATCACAAAAACACACACAGAAGTGAAAGATAAAAAAAGTGAGAAGTCAAACAGGGCAGAGGAAGAGGATGCCAGCAGCCAGACATGTTCCCTAAAACCAGTTTGGTTCAGACAGGAACACACGTCAGACTGGTGGTTTAACACAGGGGAGTTAGATGCAGCAAGCAGCAGAACAGAGCACGGCAGCAAGGGGAGAAAGTGAGGCACAAGAGCAGAGATAGCAATAGCATTTGCACAAGAAGCAAGGACATCAAAAGGCACATGTAGAAAGCTGGGCAGACCCAGCTTCATTTAAAAGACCTCCTAGCAGCAGATGAATGCAGCAGCCCTGAGGATGTGGTTTTATCAGCCTGCTGCTCAGCTCCCAGGCAGCACAGGGGAGGTGCACAGCTCTGCCACATTGGCACACGTCCATCAGACCTACCTGGGAGTTCACAAGACGAATGGTTGTCTTTTGCCCCACATCTTCTTGAAACCCCTTGATAGGAGCCCCGTTGAATCGCAAGACGGCATCATGGCTGTCTGGAAGCAAACCAGAGTGAAAATCTGTGAGCTGACAACTGGCTTTTGAGTGATACAAGAGATGTGCAATAGTTTATTCACCTGCATTTCTAATGCAACCTGGCCAGTCCCTGGCTTTCCATGTCAGAGCTGGAAGTACCAAGTCAGATTCTGTGGAAGAAGTTGTTAGTCTCACTTCATGATCAGTATACTTTTAAAACCCCACTTCCTTAAACCACAGTCCCCTGGCAGGCTGAGAGAGCAGCCCTAACATTCACTTTGCACAGAGGAGCACAGCATCTCCCTCCCTCTTTTTCTTTCCAAACCCTTCACCAACAGATAGACCAATGTATAATTAATTTGCCACGTGGTTGGCTGCAAACTAAGGAACTAGAAAATAACAGTGAGCCAGCGTCCTCTCTTGTAGCCTGGAGGTTGACCAGCCTGAGACACATGTATAATAACCACAGAGGAAAGTAGAGCTGACTTCAGCCTCCCACGTTACAGAAATAAAACCACCGCTGTGCATTTAACAGGCACAGCTTGTTACATGCCTCGGGATTCACTGCATTTTCCTCTGCTGGCATCATCTCTGAAGATAGCACAGCATTCCTCCAGCACCCTCCTCTGCCTTGGCACAGCCAGCCAGGCTGTCATAATGCCACAGAGCCAGGCTGCTGCTGCTGCACGACAGAGAGCGTTCATGCCTGCCACCCTGTCCTCTCCATACCTACTGGCTAGATTCGGGTAGAAAACATTTCATGTGGTCAGGAGCATTGGTTTAGTGGGTTCAGACCAACTTCCCTGCCTTTGTGCTGGGGCCACACAAAAGCAGCTCATGGCAGCTGCCCTGGGATCCTTGTAGAATTCTGGATCCCCAGGCAGGGCAGAAGGGCTCACCTGGTCCAGAACCAGAGAATCCCAGACTGGTTTGGGTTGGAAAGGACCTTAAAGCTCACCCAGTTCCACCCCCCCCGCCATGGGCACGGGCACCTTCCACTAGAGCAGGTTGCTCCAAGCCCCTGTGTCCAACCTGGCCTTCAACACTGCCTGGGATGGGGCAGCCACAGCTTCTCTGGGCACCCTGTGCCAGCGCCTCAGCACCCTCACAGGGAAGAACTTCTGCCTAATGTCTAATCTCAATCTCCCCTCTGTCAGTTTAATACCATTCCCCCTTGTCCTGCCCCTACAGGCCCTTGTAACCGGGTCTTTCCAAGATCATTGTCTTCTAAACACGGCTATCCTCAGGAGCAATGCTGGAGGATCAATAATCACTGGCAGCAAAGACTAGTTTCTCAGCTACTTTATCCTCATAGCAAATCTTGTTTGGAAGTCTTCCAGAACAACACAGAAAACCTAAAAAGGTGATGTTCCTGAAAATAACTTGTCCATGCTGAGAAGCAGCTCTGTAGTTACTACTAGAGACCCTTAACCCCACATCCTACCTTGCACCCACAGAGTAAAGGGTTATAATTTCCCCATTTAACTTCTGCCAGACACCAAGTGTTATTATGCCCTAAATCTGCATTTTAAAGGGTGTTTAGTGACTGCTCAGGCAGAGTTCCTGGCTATTCGAAGCACTATGTCTCCAGGTGGTTGTGCTGCACTTGCTATTTCTCCCATCACATTTTTCACTGGTAATTCATGAACTCCAGTAACACCAAGAGCCCAGTAAGATACGAGCTGCTGTTCAGAAGCTTCTCCCTGTTCTGCTCTGCCAGCCTCCCTTACACTGACTAATTGCTCATTTGATGTGATTACACAGAACAAGTATTTCCTGGAACAACAATTCAGCAATCCGCTGTGCCCATCTGCACAAGTGTAAGCTTGTCAGATCTAGCACCTTTTTGGCTCCTTCCTCCAACAAAACCGCTGCTTTTCCTACATGGAAATACATCATATGAAAACTAGGGAAAGAAGTATACAAATACACTGAATTCTCCTGAAGTGTTCAATATTCAACTCAAGGTTGCAAGTGCCCAAAACTCGGCACTAGCAAAGATGACTGCTTGAGCAGAAAGGTTAAAGTCTGCAACCAAGGTGTGAGGAACACAAGCCACAGACACCAGCAGGGGTTAACGGCATTCGCCTCAGGCACATTACAACAGTGACCTTCACAGCATCCATCCCTTGTGATCTGGAACAAACTGGTGCTTCAGTTTCAGGGACAGGTTCAGAGACAGGCTGTAGGAACAATGAAGTGGCTTTCCATGCCTGACATCCTTCCAGCTGTGTCACAGCCAGAGCACAGCCCATTGCATTTCCTGGCTGCTCCAATTCTGAATCCAGTACTTTCATGGGCTGCATTACCACAGTCCGTAAACCCTCAGCTCCTGAGAGGGTCTCTTTACAGAGGAGCAAGCAGTTTTATCAGTGTGAAGGGGTCTAACAGAGACACCCTTGCACACAAGCCAGCTGTGTCAGGGGAACACGTTCAACAGAAAGTCACTGCCATAGAAACCTTTAGCTACTGGACTTCAGGAGGCACCTAAACAAGCCAAAGGTATTCAAAGGAAAAGTCAGAACTGGCTTCCCAAGCCTTGATCCACCTGACCTCAAACACTCCCAAGAGGTGGAAACAATCACATCTCAGATGCAGTTTTTACCAGGAAGCAATGCTATCCTGGTTCATACCACCACGACCTTCTTAATCACATCTTTCATAGCATTTTAACACACTTCAGGCTGTTCAGCCTTATTCTAAGCACAGAGGAGATTGGAAGAGAACTTCTGAGAAAGTACCAGAACAAACCCCTGACTCTCCCATAAGGCTCCTGGGACTATGAAGGAACTATGAAGGACTATGACTGGAGGCTTTACCCAAGATGTCCATGAATAATGGATTAAAAGCTATCCATGTACTTGTTTCAGAGGATGAAGGTTCCTTGCAGCTTAGTCTGGGCCAAAGGGGCATGATCCAACAGACAGGTTATGAACACACTGATGTCTGCAAATAACTTCCACTGGAGAGAGAACTCCTCTAGGCTTTAAAACTTATTCAGTGAAGCTGCAGTTTAGAAAGTGTGAGCCTCAAACAAGAACTAGTGAAGAAAGCTGAGGGAACTGCAGGCACAGGAGAATTTTCTGCCAGGCACAAAATCCTGAGTAGAAGGCTGGAGAGGTGGTTTCCCCTGCATGCTTCTTACTTAAAGATACAAAATGCTTGGGTATCAGCACATTCAGTACGAGACCAATGCTTTAGCATTTATTAATTAATGAACTAACATCAGATAAATATGGTCAAGTAAGACTTTGCAAAGCACCATCAAACTTGGTCTAAAGAAGAGATAAAATAAAGCCCTGTAAAAGTTTTGCCATGGTCTTCTGGGCCACTCAAACTCAAGATACTGCCTTATGATGCAGAATGAAAGCCACAAGAACCACAGCATCACTGAAACTGAAAGGGACCTATGAAGACTGCCTGTGCCCAGCCCCTGCTCAATGCTGAGTCAACTACAACACATTGCTAAGGGCTGTGTTCAAGGTTTTTTTTACCCTAATTTAGTATTTTCTTTCTTCTGTAAAGAAGTCTTTCTGAATAAACAGATTTCTGACTGTTGACTATGCAATGAAGGCATTGACATTACTTAACCCAGCCAAACTCTCTCAAGAAACAAACACTTAAGGAACCGCTCTCTGGTATCTAGTGTTAGTGCTACCCTCTAGTGATGCCAGTGTCATCATGAACATTGAAAGGACTAGCTGGAATAGAATTACCTGCACGTGTCATGTCTTCATAGCTGAACCCAACACTTACACTCCCTTGGGGCTTGCCTATTTTGGTCTGTCCAAGGTCTAAGGCTCCCAAGCACTGTGAGGGCATCAAAATGCAGCCTACCCTGTGCAGCCTATACACCCAGAGAGGAATGGAAAATCTGATCATTATTCTTACCTCCTCTTAGGATGTAACATTCATTAACTTTAGAAGAAGTTTAAAGATTATATTTCAACTTATTTTAAACACACAGCATCAGACTTACTGGGAACAGCATGACAGTAGGTTGCTTCTGTTCAATGTTAGTTATAAAACAATGTAATTTGACTTTATGCTAATAGGAAGATACCAAAGTTATAAAACAACGTAATTTGACTTTATGCTAATAGAAAGATACCAACCTATCTCTTGTCCCAGATGAGATGATCGCAGAGACCCTGCTGAGGACACGACAGCACAGCGACCCAGGTGGCCCACTGTTTCATTGAGGCTTTTCCCTGGTAGGTATTGCTGCCATTCAGAGGTATCAAAAGGGCCATCGGACCCCTGTATCATGGTGACGTTCACCCTGTTCCGTAGCTGGCAGAGCAGCTTCTCTGGGCTGAGTTTAGCAGCATTCCTCTTCCCCTTGTAAGTCACATTGTACTTGTTCATGGACAGGTAGTTTTTCCTGACCTTCTGCAGCCTAGGTATGAGATTTCTTGATGAACTGTCCTTATCCCATACCTTCATAGAGTCTGTTACTTTCTTGGACTTCTCAGCTATTCCAGAAATGCTGTCTTTTACTTGGTTGTGGTTACCAAACCATGTTTTTGGTATCACCCCCAGTTCACTGGCTGCTTCACGGAAAAGACCCTGAGATTTAAGTGGGTTCCACTTTTCTGAAGTCTGTAAATCATCAGTCTCAGTCTTGAAAGGAACATAGTAGCTTCTTCTCGTCTCTCTCCACAGGCAAATTGTCAGCGCTACCAGTATCACCACAAGAACACACATTAATTTTTTCAACACATTGACGTGAACCATAGTGTATGGTGCATCCAAATGGGACAATGAACACGGGGCAGAAAGCTGGTCCTGGAAGAGAGGAAAGCATCTCAGTCAGGGCTGTATGCACACGCACGCATATACCATCGAATGCTTGGGCTGGGAGGACCTTGAAGACCATCCAGTTCCAGCCTCCCTGCCACAGTCAAGGACACCTTCCACTAGACCAGGTTGCCCAAAGCCCCATCCAACCTAGACTTGAATATAGATATAAAAGTTATAAGCATCAGTGTGTGGGCAATGGAAGGGGGAAAAGAGAACATAGGGGCAATTTTACAATTTCAGGCTGTTTAAAGATCTCATTTCAAAGTCCACTGCATCAAATACTAAGCAGAAAGACCTGAGCTGCCTATTAGCCTCAGATGCTAACAGCAGTCTGAGGCCACTGCCACTCAGACCTTTTTCCTGTTCCCTGCTACAAGTGACAGTTTAACCTTGCCAGTATTATACCACCAGCAGGGTAAGTCTCCATTTCACTTCCCTTCATCTCCCATCCCAGCCAGCCAATATCCAAATCCCATCACTAGCATTTCCAGAACTAAGCTCCTACTTGACCATAAGCATGAACACTAATGAAGTGTATAAGGGGGCATATAACTATGGGGAAGAAAACCCAAAAGCTGCGATGTCATGAACACCAGGTGCTTCACCAGCCTGGTACTGCTATACTTGGTGACTTCCCAGGAAACTCCTGCAAGCCTGCAGTTGTCTGAGTGCATTCCCAACATGAAACCTCTCTAAACAGCTGGAAGCCCATTAAGCTACAGTAGGGTTTGAGGCATGTTTGGTTCATAAATGCACTCTGATAAATATTACTCAAGGTATATCACCCCTGGAGAAAGCAAAGCCAAACCCTGTCGTACAGCACTGCCTGTCCTCTCTTGTGCTACCTCACACTAGTAGACACCTCCAGCCCCCATCATGCTATACAAGGGGGAAATTCAATAGGAGTGCCCAAATGGCAGCTCAACCTGGGCAGCACAAGGGGCTGGTGTAGGAAACATCTGCTGAGGCATAAACACCTTGTGAGCAGAGCATAAAACCACAGAACATAGGAGGGCAGATGCTCATTTTCCTACATGGCTGCTCTGCAGTGCGTCCAAAAAGCATGGGAGCAGTACAGAGACATGCAAATCGCTACCCATCCTAAAGAGGCACTAGTAACAGCTCCCTCCTCCAGCAACTTCCTGAAAGCAAGCAGTGCTAAGCTCCGGTATTAACAAGTTAGTGAGCTACCAACACACTACCTGTGGATGAGGCAGCAGCTCTCCACCTCAAGTCATTTTTGGTTGTTGGCAGATTTTCTTCTGAGGATTTAAGCAGGACGCTCCAAAACACAGCAGCTCTGTGACGCACTGGGGAGTTCAAGAAACACCTGCAAAAATAAGGAGACAAAAAAGAAACCAAACCACTATTGTGGAAGAACTTTGTAATTCTGGGAATGAGCAAGTATTTCTTCAGATGAGTCCTGCAGTCCCCAAGAAGCTGTTACCCAGGCTTGGAAGGGCCAGCAGCAAACACATGAGCACCACATAAGCCTTTTCAACACTTAAATGCCCACTCAGAATGGGCATCTTCCTTCTTAGCCTGAAACCTACTCTCAGCTAAAGCAGGAACTGTTTTGCAGGCTGGCTGCTCTATGCCTCCACCAGACCCACAGCCTTCTCTACAGAGAAGGCTCTGAGCAGTGGATACACCCATAATACAGTGACTGGAACATCCCATCACTGATGCTTATAACACGATGAACAGAGGACAGGAAAGGAAAGAAAAAGCTAACTTTTCTGAGGGAAATATCTTCCTGCCCATTCTTGGGCAATTTCTGTACTCCTCAAATGCAAGGGGTTTCTTAGAGCAAGTGAGTTGTAAGAAAAGATGTTTTACAACATGTATCTCAACACACAGGTCATCAAAAAATAGACAAATGTGGTTTAGACTTTACAGCTTCACTCTACCAAGGAAATACAGCAAGAGAAAGGGAGATTTCACAGCATTATACAGTTCCAGAAGTAGCTTGCTTTTGCAGAAACTCTGAGTCAGTACAATGCCACATAAGCTAAAACAGAAATACTGCCCTTCACAGGATTAAATACAAAATTATTAAAGCACCCTAATGCCTTTCTTTTAACTCTACTAAGGATTGTAACTTGATTTCTTACAGAGCACACTAAAAGTTAAAAGCAACCATTGTTCTACCTCCAGTTCTTAAATAACAACAAAAAGATTAGAGAAGCATGAGTAATTCTAGCCTTTACTGAAGTAATCTCCATTTCCTTGAGAAGCCAGCACTAGAAAAGCATGCTGAACCTTTTTGGCCAGTATGGTTTCAGATGCAGAGGTACAGCAGTCTGGAGCAGTCAGGAGAGGAGGCAGGACATTGCTGTGCTCTCTTCAAAGAGCAGTTAGAACCATAGCACCACAGAATGGTTTGAGTTGGAAAGGATCTTAAGCTCATCCAGTACCAACCCCGTTGCCACAGGCAGGGACACCTTCCACTAGAGCAGGTTGTTCAAGACCCTGTCCAACCTGGTCCTTCCTAGGTTGGGGACACCAGAACTGCATCAGTACTCCAAGTGGGGTCTTCGCAGAACACAGTAGAGGGTGAGAATCCCCTCCCTTGACCTGCTGCTCACGGTCTGGGGACGCAGCCCGGCACACGGGTGGTTTCTGAACTCAAGCGCACACTAAAGCCGAGCCATGGGGAGCTTCTCATCACCCAACACCCCCAAGTCCGTCTCCACAGATCCTATTCAGCTGAGGTCTCTGTAAGACACTTTCACCCCTGCCTCTCCCCTGTCTCCTTTGCAGATGGAAACCCCTCTGGGCCAGCCTGCTCGATGTCTGGTTGCTGCCCTCAGGAACAAAGCCACGCCAAGGCAGGAGACTGCAAAAGCTACCTCCTAAACGGGAGAGCACTGCTGCTTCAGCTTCCACGCTGTCAGAGGCTCTGCAGGGAAACCACACTTAGACGGCAATACTTTCCAAATCAAGATACTCCAAAATAGTTATCAGGCATCAGCTTAAGACAAAGCCCTGAGACATCTCCCTCCAACCATGCTTCATGCAGCCCCCAACCTGACTTTATTTACACTATACTTCTTTACACAGGATAAGTGACTGGTTTCCAGGAAACTCAAGCAAGATCATCTGCACATGCAGGAGAGACGCTCCACACCACAGGAGATGCCCTGGCTGTTCCCCCACTATGCAGAACCAAGGCCCTGTGGGGCTCTACCATGCTTTTGAGTTCAGAAGCCTCTCCTGAGGGTTTTCCATGTGTAAGTGATTGTGGGCATATCTCAGTACCCTGAGCTTTTGTTTCCCAAGGCTAGGATAATCTAGGAGTGGCAGGTTCACCACAGTGGAACAATCTTACAGGCCATTGCAAGTTCCTGCTGGAGCACTCCTCCTGGTGCCACACAGCAGAGGATGCCAAACAAGTCACACCACCTCTTCTCCTCTCCAGGCCATGCAAGGGAACCTGTAAAACTCATCTTCAGCACCCAGCATAACACAATCCTTGCCTTTGACAACTATGCATGCTGTTGCAACATGAACAGTTATTCTGCTTTGATTTGTAGGCTGGCAAAGTAGGTTCTGCAAGCACGAACATTTTAGCAGGGATATAACATTTCTAGGTACCTCTTGCCCACCCTGGATTTGCTGCGGATCACTTTAATTATTACTACTACTTCGTATGATATGATTTTATTTTATATGTACAAGGTAGTGTACATGTATGCATGAGGTCCCTCTCAAGCATTCTGACACCAAACCTTTTCTGTGGAGCAGGAAAGCATCTGCTCTTCCAGGCCAAATGGGATAGCTCACAAGCAGTGTTCTCTTTCCACACCTCTAGCTAAGTCACTTGGGTGAGCTTCTGTATCACAGCAGTTAGTACAAAGGTGCTCTTTTAAAGGTGATGGAAACTTCCATCACACAAAGCTCAGAGTGTCAGCTGTGAGTAGTACTAAGAAAGGACAACAAACCCCAACACTCCCAAACCTATAAAAATACTTAAACAAATAGCTGCTGGCTTCCTGACACCTAGAGCCTGATGTGGCCATGGGGTGTAGTGCTGGCTGGCCAGCAGGCAGGCTAAGCCCACACAACAAGTCCTCTGGGGGTAAATTAATCCTATGCAGAGAACAAGTGAGTAATGCAGTATCTTCAAGACAGTCACGGAACTATATCCTGCCCACACACTCTTATACTTAACCTCTATTGTCCAAGTGCCTCACTGAACTTGGAACCATCCAAGCAGGGATGGTTAAGATGCTGCTGTGCACCCAGGGAGCTGCAGCCAGCAGTATCCTGGCAGAGAATAGCACATAATCCTGATTTCCCCACAGCAGATTAACCCTAAAACTGCTAACAACAGTGTCTCCACCTTGTTAAACAAAAAGTCTATCAAGCGCTTACCTCTCTCCGATAGTAAGTGACCGACAGCAGATGCACAGAGAAACCACGTAAGTACAGACCAACGTACAAATGTATTTCTCTTCCAGTAAATGCAGACAGCGTCCAAAAAGCTGTGTCATCAGCTGTACCAATGCCCATCCTCTGCACATTTGTTTAATTGCTTCTTGGAACCACCTGCATTTCCCAGACAGCCCGAGGCCATGAATCCTGCAACTGCGCACTGTGCGGGGTCAACCCCTCCTCGCGCTGCTTCACACTGGCAAAGCCCATTTGCCTGCACTTCTGCACATCCTTCATGGTCACACCACCTCTCCCAACACCCTCCTATCCTCACTGGCTGCTCTTCCAGCCTGAATCCCGTGAGTTCCAAACCCTCCTTGCACGGACCCTTTTCCATACCTCCAACTCTCTTTGCCAGCTTCTCCAGCACCATTAGCAGCGCATGAGCATCCCTCCAGGCAGGCACACAGGGACACCCCAAACACACACGCTCAGGCCACGTGCTCTGGCAGCAACATAACCATGGGGCTGTTTTGTTCTCCTTCCAAAACTTCCTCCACTTCTATTTCCCTTCCTGGCTGTTTCTAAAGCCCTCAGCTCTAGGCTATCAGTGATGACTTCAGGGTATTTTGCAAGCAGCACTGACTCACTGAGAGTTGTCCCTCTATAGCAGCAAAGGGTGGAGGGCAGGAATAAAACACTACTGAAGAGCATTGGTCTTACCCCTGGCAGCGCAAGCTTCCTTGCTGCTCAGCCACCCAGGATCACTGGATCCCTCTGCAGCTCTGCTCAGTGTCTTACTGTGGTCCCAGCAACCTGCAGGGGACAAAGCCAGCCAAGCCCTTAACCCAGCCCTTCCTCCTCTCCTTGGCGGATCCCGTTATTGCTGCTCAACGGCGGAGATCTCAGAGCAGATCCCTGTGGGACTTCTGTGATATTGTGAAACCTGACCCCTTGGTTTCCTACCCACAAGGCAGTCAGTAGTCCAGACAGAAGCTTTCTCATCCCACAACAGTTTAGGGTATTAAGTTTTGGGTTTTTTTCCCTGAGGATCTCCATGAGCAATCCCACCAAAACCTGGAAAATTCAAGCACGCTGTTTCCCTCTCTCCAGGATCACTAACTTCTGAAAAGGAGAGAAGAAGGAACAGGCAGATTGATTCGAGCAGATGAGGAGATTTCTCCATTAACTCTTATATATTCTACTGCTGTTGGTTATTTTTATTATGTTTACTGCTCTGAAGCAATGCATTTCAGAGGAACGCTGATGGGATCCAATCATGTCAAATAACACCTTTAATTGCAATTAAATGGCAATTTAAGAGATGCAGTCCTTGGGGACGGGCACATGCAGGGATCATATCCACCTGCTCTACTATGCCTCTCCTGCTCCCTCCATTCATACATCAGCATCATTCACCTGCAGTTTTCTTGCCTCTGATGTATGCACAAAAGCCTTTTACTTTAGCAAGTTGTTCCTCGGTCTTTTTTTGGGAGTAATGTGATAATGACTTCATATTAAACCTTAGAGCATTTACAGCTCTTTCCAGGTTTCCTTCATTCATGCATTTCCATCTGTACTGACATCTGTGCCACTTTTGTTCCCAGCTTTTGCTGCAGTATTCTTAACTGGTTTTATGCTCCTCTCTGTGAACATTTTATACTTTAGTGACACCTTTTTATTCTCTTTCTTGTCCATTCTCTTTACTAACCCTTTAACACAGCCAGTGCCTGTGAAGAGAGTAACGGCTGGTAGCAGAGGCAGAATGAGTTCACATGAAGGTGTGTGTGAGAGAGGTTACCTAAAGAGGAAAGACATGAAGGTGTAGGGCAGGAATCATAGAATAGCTAGGATTGGAAAGGACCTGGTTCCAACCCCTTGCCATGGGCAGGGATACCTCACACTAGCCCACATCACCCAAGACTCTGAACAGCCTGGCCTTGAACACTGCCA